TTAAAGTTATTACTTTACCTAAATCAGGCGGTGTATGTTTATTTTTTCAAATCAATAAATTTAATTGTATATAAATATTTGTTAATTTTAGGTTGTACCAAAAGATGCAGCTAAAGATAAATTTCGTGAAAATAAAATTCGTGAATATTTTTATGGACCAAGAAATAATATTTGTCCACATGTATTTACTATTGAATTTAATGAAATAAAAATTTATAAAATTGGTGCACCACAAATACCAGATTCATGTTTACCAGCTGGTATGATTTTAAAAAATCCATATAATAAAATCTTACCAATTGCTGCAAGTAAGAAAAGTCGAAATAGTCAAATAGTATTATTCTTTTTTTCTTCTTCTTTTTCATAAAAAGGTCCTGCGTTAATGCACCATGTTTTAGCAGTCAGTAGTTCCAATGATCCAGAACAGTTATTAGCAAAAAATATACTTGGTTTTGTTGTCGTGTAAGTTGTATTATTTTCATATTGAATATCATATTTCTTTCTTTCTTTCTTGTCAATAGTCAACAAGTCGATTCAGAAAAACGTACATTAACATTATTATCACCACAACCTAATGTGAAAAATAAACTTCTCATTGTGTCTGATATATCCTTTGTTGATATGAAATAATGTTTTCTATTTTGTATAAAGAAATAAAATAAAAAGATGATTAACTAAACTTTAAGATATCAAATAAGATGTTTTTTTTTGTTTCTTTTTAGATATTATAAATCACGATTTACATATTTGCTTTTTTTCTTTTCTTTTATGATAGTAGTTTGCATGCGCTTTTTCTTTTGGTATGATAATAAGAATGAAAGTATATGTGACCCAATTAGACTGCCGAATAGTATCATGTTTTTTTGTGTTGTTCGTTCTATTTGCATAGTCAAAAGACAAAGAAGAAAACAATTATACAATGTGAACGATAATATCGAATCGTTGATTGACTCATGTAATAAAAGAAAATGCTTTGAAGTATGTAGTATAAAACGTGTCGTCTTTAGAATTTTTATATTCAATTGATTTACATCTGTCACATAGATGTATATTTAATTATTTTTCTTTTAGATGCTATAATTTCTTAACTTCAAATAGTTCTCTAATCTTATTTGGAGACAAATAAAAAATTATTCTCGTTTTTATATTTTATTTTTCTGTAAATAAAAATCACAACTGGATTCGATAAAGTTAATTAATTTGACCTCCTCACCGAGTGTATTAAGTTCACAGGAGGAGAATCAACAGAATGATTTTTCTTCTTCATCAAATGGTGTAATGTCATTAATGAATTCTGATACTGCATGTCGTGTAACATCTGATGAAATAATCAAAATTTTACAAACAGATGGTAAATTAGGTTTAAATGAAAATGAAATACAAAATCGACGTAAATTTTATGGTCACAATGATTTTGAAGTTGATGATGCTGAACCAATATGGAAAAAATATTTAGGACAATTTAAAGAACCAATGATATTATTATTACTTGTATCAGCATTTCTATCATTATTAATGAAACAATATGATGATTCAATATCAATAACAATTGCAATTATTATTGTTGTTACTGTTGCATTTATTCAAGAAAATCGTGCAGAAAAAGAAATTGAAGCTTTAAAAAAACTTGTTCCACCAAAATGTACTTGCATTCGTGATGGAAAAAATCATCAGATATTTGCGCGAGATTTAGTTCCAGGAGATTTATGTATATTAGATATTGGCGATCGTATACCAGCTGATTTACGTTTAATAGAAGTTAATGAAATATCTGTTGATGAATCATCATTTACAGGTGAAACTAAGCCATCACTTAAAACAATTTTACCAATTACATTTGGTTCAAGACAAACATCTATTAATGATAGAAAAAATGTTGTTTTTATGGGTACACATGTATTAAATGGAAATGCAAAAGTAAATATTTAAATAAAAATTTTTATCTTATTTCGAAATGATTAATTTATTCATAGGGTATTGTAATATGTACAGGTGAACATTCGGAATTTGGAAAAGTATTTCAAATGATGCAACAACAAGAAGTAAATATAGATTCGAAAAAAATTAAATTATTTCATGTTTTTTTTAGGCACCAAAAACACCATTACAAAAGAGTATGGATGCACTTGGAAAACAACTTTCATTTTATTCATTGAGTATCATTGGATTTATTGTCATTGTTGGTTGGTTACAAGGACGACATATATTAGAAATGTTTACTATTGGTGTTAGTTTAGCTGTAGCAGCAATTCCGGAAGGTTTACCGATTGTTGTTACTGTTACATTAGCACTTGGTGTTCAACGTATGGCAAAACGAGATGCAATTGTTAAAAAATTACCCATTGTTGAAACACTCGGTTGTGTAACTGTCGTATGTTCAGATAAAACAGGAACATTAACAAAAAATGAAATGACTGTAACAAATATTGTTACATCGGATGGACAAATTGCAGAAGTTTGTATTTTATAATTGTAAAATATTTTATATCTTGTTATCTATTAGGTTACTGGCTCAGGTTATAATGGTGAAGGTGATGTTTTATGTAATTTACAACGTATTGCTTACGATTCACATCCATTAATATCTAAAATAATCGAAGTAAAATATTTTTTAACATTAATAAATATTCAAATAAATAATTTTAATTAGGTTGGAGCTGTTTGTAATAATTCTGAAATTATCAACTCTCAACTTCGTGGTCAACCAACTGAAGGTGCTCTACTTGCTGTTGCTATGAAAGTATGTATATACATTTTTTTTGAATAAAATAACTTTTTCTCGTCATAGATGAATCTTCCGCATCTTCGTGAACAATTTCAACGTGAACATGAATGGCCATTTTCACATGAAAATAAATGGATGGCTGTACAATGTACACCCAAATATAATCCAGTTTGTTTTTCATTATTTTAATTTATTTATTTTTGAATTTTTTTATTATAGAGTGAAACACGTCTATATTTAAAAGGAGCTATTGAACAAGTATTAAAAATGTGTAAAAAATATTTTTTTCATGGAGAGACAATACCATTAACTGATGAAAAAATACGAGAATTTATTGTTGAATCAAATCAAATGGCAGCTAAAGGATTACGAAGTATATATATATAATTTCTTGAAGAAATTAAAAATTATTTATTTCTTATAGTTCTTGCAATGGCTTCGGGAACAACGCTTGATGATTTAGTATATGTTGGTATAGTTGGAATAATTGATCCTGAACGTCCACAAGTCGTACAAGCTATTTCACAATTAAAAGCAGGTGGTGTTCAAGTTAAAATGATAACAGGTGATGCTGAAAAAACTGCAAAAGCAATTGGTAAATAAATCAAAATTTTTTGTTAAATTTTTATTTAAAAATATTATTTTTGTTTAGGATCTCGATTAAAAATTTATGAAAGTTCGGATTTAAGTATATCCGGAGAAGATCTTGATCATATGAGTGCAGCTGAACTTGATAATGCTGTTTCAAAAGCAACAATTTTCTATCGTGTTAGTCCAAAACATAAATTAATTATCGTCGAAGTAAGTTTCAATGAAAAACAAAACAAAAAATTTCTATTTCTTGTTATTTAAGATTTTACAAGCACAAGGACATATTGTTGCTATGACAGGTGATGGTGTTAATGATGCAGTTGCACTTAAAGCCGCTGATATTGGTATAGCTATGGGACAAACAGGTACTGATGTATGTAAAGAAGCTGCAGATATGATTCTTGTTAAAGATGATTTTTATACGATCATGTAAGATAGAAATTCAATTAAAAAAAAAACTATTATTTAATTTTCTATAGGGCAGCAATTGAAGAAGGTAAAGCAATATTTCATAATATAAGAAATTTTGTTCGATTTCAATTGAGCACGTACGTAATATTTTTAAAAAAAGGAATTTATTTAACGGAGATTTGTTTTTAAAGGAGTATTGCTGCTTTGAGTTTAATAACACTTTCGACTGTTTTTCATTTTCCAAATCCATTAAATGCTATGCAGATTCTTTGGATTAATATTATTATGGATGGACCACCTGCGCAAAGGTTTGTTTTTTTTTCTTAAAGGAAATATTTCAATATAAAATTATATTTTATTAGTCTTGGTGTTGAACCAGTTGATCATGATGTATTGAGAAAACCACCGAGAAAGGTTACGGATCCAATGATAAGTAAAAAATTAATTATTAATATGGTTACAAGTGCTGCTGTAATTGTTACTGGTACATTATGTGTCTTTTATGCTGAAATGCGTGATGGAAAAGTAACACCACGAGATACAACAATGACATTTACTTGTTTTGTCTTTTTTGATATGTTTAATGCTCTTAGTTGTCGATCTCAGGTGAGATTTCTCTTTCTAGAAAAAAGAAATTACTTGAGAAATATTTTCTTATTTTTAGACGAAATTTATTTTTGAAATTGGTCTTTTCTCCAATCGATTTTTTCTTGTTGCGGTGTTACTTTCCATAATCGGTCAAATAGCTGTTATTTATTTTCCACCATTACAATACGTATTCCAAACCGAAGCACTTAGTGCATCAGGTATTTGAAGAAAAAAACAACTCCTTCCTATTTTGTTTAATAAATAATATTTTATTTAGATTTGTTATATCTCGTATGTCTTACTTCATCTGTATTTCTTGTCAATGAAATACGAAAATTGGTAGAAAGAATATATCTCAAACGGCAAACTAAAAATACATATATATCAAAAAATACTTGGATGATCTAAATACGCTTACAGATAAACATTTTATTTTCAAAATCAAAGAATAATTTAAACAAAATTCGAGTCTCACCGTATTTAATATGCATCTAAAACGTTTTTTTGTGCTGGATATAAGTCTGTTATTGGCACTTATATTTTGTTTTTTTTTTCTCTTTAATTTATTCGCCTTTTTTTTGTTAATTCTTGACACGTATCTGTTGTATGGTTTTTTTAAGTGATAAATAATAATAATAATTATTAAACAATCGGATAATTTATTAATCGCACAAGAGATATTTATTTATATAATAAGATAAAAGAATAACATAAAAATCACATATACGTTGATAAAAATGTTACTACCACAACTAGGATTTGGTCCTATAGGATTAGTAGTAGATGTTGTTGTTTCACTAGATAATAAATTGGAACTAACTCCTAGAGTAACAGTTGTTATTAATCCACCAGGAAAACCTAAATTTCCATTTTCATATTGAATATCCATTAATGTATAACTTCCGCCACTTGCATAAATACCATCTTGACTATTTAATGTACGTCGAACATTATGAGAATTGTATGGTGATTGTTCTGCAACTGTATCACTAAATGAATCATTGAAAAATAATTGACCTGTATGAACAACAGTACCACCGGAATAAAGACTTGTTTCACTATTATATTCTCCACCAATATGTACTTTAATATGTATATGAATTGTTCGACCAGCGTACCAACCTGGATAAATAGTATCAAATGTTGCTATACCATCATTATTTGTTATTTGAAGTCCTCGAAGAAATGTCTGATTATCATTTTGAGGATTTGGTATTTGATTACTAGCAGAAATATAATGTGAATAAAGTCCCAGAGCATCACAATGCCATAAATCAACAATAGCATTAGCGATTGGTTGACATGTATTTACATTCAATACAAGTACTTGAAGACGAAATCGAATACCAGAACGATCTTCCCTATAATATAAATACATATGAAATATTTCGTTAATAAAACTTTTAATTTACGAAATATTTTGTCGAACAAATGTACTATTCCAATAGTATGGACCTTCAGTTTGTTCAGGTGTTAAAATACATGCCGATGATGCTTTTTGACAATATGTTAATGATGGATCTTGTTGTAAAGATGAACAAGGCAAAATAAGAAAAAGAAGAAATAAAATGATATTCATCATTGTAATAATCAATAGATGAAATTGAATATGTTCCGTATTTATATGAAAAAATCATTTATTACCTATGTACTTTTTACATAGATTAAAGATACTTACGTTATAAATTAATTTGATTGTATTATATTACTTCTCTTCGACGCATGATCAAATAAAATAAAAGGACATGATTTATTGACTTGTCTTATCTTTATCCTTTTTTGCATGACCACTAAACTGAATAAAGTCTATAAAAATGTACTATTTTGACTAGCAAACGTGTATTGTCGTCTTTTATATTCGGGTACACTGTAACCCTTAATGATATAATAGTAAGAAATCAGTTGTCGAGCATTTTAAACATTGTAGGAAGATTATCTTATTATTTCAATTATTTTTCAAAGTGATAAATAGAATGTTTGAATATGAATAGTTTAATATGCTTAATTTTATTTGCATATGATTATTCACGGATTATTTATTTTCAAAAAGACGTAAATATACAACATTTAACAAAGAAAAATCTTTGAAAACAGTTTATATTTTAATATTTGCTAATAGTTGAAAAAGTTGGTCTTAATGGTTGATTATATCTTCCAGTAATAGCTGGTGCATTGCTGGATATGTTATGAATACGTGTAGAAGGTAAACGTGTTCGAAGATAACTTCTTGCAGGAAAATTAACTTTACTCGTACTTGTGTTACCAAGAAGTGGTGGGTCAGGTTTGTATGTTCGAAGATAGACAAGCCAAAGTAATGGACAAGTCATAAATGTTGTGACAAGTGCCATAATAATTAACATAGTAAAAAGACGAGGTGAAAGAATATTAAGTTGAAGACCAATATTCAATGCAATAAGTTCTACTAAACCACGTGTATTCATCAAAATACCTACAGCTGCTGAAAATTTCCATGTGTCTCTTATCATAATTTTTGTCATAATAAATGCAGGTAAAAATTTTGCCAATGTAGCAACAGCAAAAATAAGTACAGTTATTCCACCATAAAAGCTATCATTTAACGATCCTAAATTTGTTCTCATACCACTTGAAGCAAAAAATAATGGAAGCAATAATTGACCAGTAACTAATTCTAATTTAGGAAATAATTCAGTATTAAATCTTCCAGATTTCGGACATATAATACCGGCAATAAATGCACCAAAAAATGAATGTATACCAAGTATTTCACAGAAAAAAGCAGATGCAATCAACATAAGAAATACTCCAATAAGAAAGAAAGGATTCATTTCGTCATCACGTTTTACTAGAAAACTATGTATAAATTTTATTGTGTATTTAACAATGGTAAACATGAAAATAATATAACCAATAGATATCAATACGACCCTATAATATATATATATATATTAGAATATACTACATATTATCCTCATTGTTACACTTACCATAAACCAACAATACCTGATCCTTTAGCAAAAGCACCAGCAATAGCTAATGAACACCAAGCCATAATATCGTCTATTGCTGCACAACTAATTGTTACTGAGCCAATTTTTGCTGATAATAATTTTGTTGATGTAAGAATTGATGCAAGTACTGGAAAGGCAGTGAATGACACACTCGATGCGATGAATAGAATAAATGCAACTCGATCTGGTGCTTTAAATCCATCTCGATTGTTAATATCATACAAATAATAGGATAATCCAATACCACTTGCATATGGTATAATAATAGTAGAAATGGCTATTGGAAGAGAACGTTTCCATTGTTTTCTAATTTTTTCTTGTTCCAATTCTAAGCCTAAATTGAACATGAATAGGATAAGACCAACATTACCCACTAATGTAAAATAATTCCATGATGATGTTGGAAATATATGGTTTGTCCACCAATTAATATTTCCTAATACTGA